CGCATGAGCGAAAATCGAAACTAAACTCGTGTTTTACAACGAAGAAATTATTAATAGATTCCAGAGTTATTCTAGGATTAACTGATCGCGATACAGTTGACCTTCTGTCGCGTTTAAAATAAAGTATGCTTTTTTGTTTGATTTTATTTTCTACGAGCTCGATATTCTTTATTATTTCTAGCATTTAACGGTCCGATTTTCTTACTCTTAAAAATTCCAGCGGCAAAGAAACTGTTACACCAGCGTGCTTTTCATTCGACCCTCATTAAAACTTTCGTTGCAAATGATGCGCGCGCAAACAAGCCGATTTGTCCCAGTTTCAATTCAACGTGCAACTTGAATCGCGATTTTCTTTCACCGAGGTGCCGACTTATTTTCGAATTTCCCGATTTTTCTCGATTTATTTACATTTCGGTGAGGAACGTGTATTTCGTCTCTGTTTATCCACCGGGGCGTGAAAGCGGATTGCTTTAATCTATTCGTTACAAAGTTGCAAGGTATTGGAACATCCAATATTATCGATTATTTCTTCGACGTCAATATATATCGACGTCAATATATACTTTTATATCGGGGAAAAAATATATTTCTTTTTCAAAATAAAATTGAATAAATTCAAATAAAGTTTGTAGATTGAAAATAACAAATCATTTTTTCACACGCTTCCAATATTTTATAAATTTCAGTCGCATCAAAATACTTGTTGGCTAAAATAAACAGTACATAAACATTATATTATTTAATGATATTTATTTAGATAAGAAATAACCGATGCAGCTTTAGTCGTATGATATATATCGTAAAGTGATTATGGCTGCCGAGTATATTTATCTTCCTAATCTCTAATAACAGTATATAGAAGGGGCGAATGCTAATAAAGGAATAGGGGAACACTGATGCAACAATGAACAGAAGTTTGCGTGTATTCGACGGCAATCATGGAATGCATCAATTGCATCGATAATAAACGTTACCGCCTACGGGGTAATTCTCGAATTTCTCCCTAAATTCACAGAGACAATTTGCAACGCGATGTGTAGCAAGTGGAAAATTTGTCAGATTTCGAGTAATTAATTAAATACCGGTTTAATTAAATTTATTGTACAGTATGTTTGTAATGGACGCGTGTATATATAAATGCCATGGAAGACACAGATTCCCATTGCGTTTATACGACATCAATCTGTTACTGGCGCATTAAAATAAATTATCGTGAAAAAGTCATAATTGAGTAAATTAAAACTTTAACTAACCGAATATATTTTGCATATATAAGTTTATAAAAATCCAAAATTTTGTATCTCGGTAAAGGGACAAAAGGGAGACAAATTTTGATACCTCGTATCAAAAGTTTGTTTACCTGTATCTGCGAGAGCGTATTGTCTTTTGGTGATTCTCTACAAAAATTTGTTCGTCAAACAAATGGAACGCAAAACCGCGCGAGCATTATTTCATGTTTCTTGTCTCTTTCACTCGTGCCTTTTCGCGATTTATTCATCCATCCGTTCGCTTATTGGCGCAATCTCCGAGTAAATACTCGCGCATCGCGACTTGATAACCGTTCGCGATCGAACTGTTTTCGATCGGACGCATGCATTCCCGGGCCGGAAGCGCGACTGGCAAAAATTCGAATATCAAAATTGAAATATTTCTCGTTCTATCGGAAAACGGATAAAAACATACAGCCCAATAGTGATGACGATGGTGGTAGTCATGGTACTGCTGCTTTTCGTATTATATACGCATTGTATAAATAGGGTGCACAGTTACCGCTTGCAGAGAAACGCACGCAATTGCAGTTACATTGAGAGTAAGCGAGAGAGAGAGAGGAAGAGATGAGGTAATGCATATAGTCGAGCGAACTATTACGAGTGGTCTTGCGGGCTTGTAATGGACGCTGCGGACGTACAGATGTAATGGATGGAACCGTAATCCATATATTCTAAACATTACCATCGTTATCACCTTTCCACCTTCGCGATCCTCTGCCGTTTACAGTGAATCCACTCTCGCGAATGATCCATCTCTGCTTTTAATTTACTCGATCTTTAATTTACCATCTTCCCGAGCTTAACGTTTCGATGATAATTCGAGATATCTCTGTTTAATGTAATGTGACTCGGTATGATACTGACTTGACTCTTAAAACATTCATAATACATGCGTAATATAGAAATTAAATATCTCATTTTTTCGAAAATATCCTTATATTACACGGAGAATATTGTTTATGAGAATATATGTTGCCTTCGGATAATATAAGATATAAAAGGTCGCGTATTTTACGCAAAAATTATTTACAAATGGAAGGAAACTTACAGATTCATCGATATATCTCTGTAATTGCGAGTACGCAATCCAAACGCAATTACCGTAAAAATGATCCTCGTTGCTCGTAACGACGTACATAAATATAAACGACAATGAGGATCTATTTGTAGAGATTTTTATCGTTATTGCCGTTTTATTGTACTCTCTATTGATTATAATCGTTCGTTTTCGAGGGAATTACATTTCTCTCCGCTAGTACGACTTTGCGCATTCGAAACGATTTTTGAAGATTTCGTTGGAAAATTTGCTTGCTTTTTTTATTGGAAAGAGATTATTATTAGCTCGAACGAATGAGAGAAAATATTATAGAAACCCGCCGATTTCGAGATTTAGAGATAGGGTCGAATCCGCATTCGAAGGGGGATATTTTTTACGAAGAAACCGAATTTTTATCGAATCCTAAATTTTGATTTGATAATAATGTGATACTACAGTCAGAAAATTTTTTATAATCATTTTTTAACTCCAGAAATTATCTGATAATATTTCATAAAATCAGTGTAAAAAAATATTGTCTCTCAAATTCAATAAAGAATTTGTATAAGAAGATTACAGTCTGTATATTTAAGGAGAATAAAAATATGTCTCATCGATCTCAATTCAATTATTAGTTAAAAAATTATGTTTTACATCCGCTGGATGAGTATTATTATTGAAAAAAGAACCATAGCTCCTGTTGAAGGCCCGTCATGTCGGTAAAATGGCAAAAGATTCTCTTTTGTCCCATTTGACGTGCATCATGCGGATACGTCTTTTCTCTTTCTCTCTGGAGGTTGCTAATTACGAAACCGTTGCGTAAAGCCCTACGGCGCGTGTTTCTCATTCTTCTGAGCCATTCTCACGTTGCCGAGTGCACTTTTTAAGCGTAGATTCCTATTTCTTATTACAGCATTTTTCCTATTTTCGCCACGTTCGTCAGAAATGTGTATGAAAATCGTGAATTAATTTGCAAAAGAACGCGTTACGCGAGCATATTCAAAGAATGCTTATTACGCTTTCTCTTCCAACTTTTGCGCGCACTTATTAGTGAGTTTTAAAAATCAGGTTGCGCTCGCACATATTGTTTCTTTCTTATATTCTCTATGATTATTTCTTTCTTGAAACGAATTAAAATGTAAGAACGCATTTTTTTTTTCAAACGCGACGTCGAAATTGAGATGAAAGCGTCACTAGATTGATCTTGCGTGCAAAAACGTAGCGAGTTTCGCAGTATTTTCGAGTATAAGAATTTTCACAAAAATCGAAAATCATCAATGTAGATTTATATCAGGAAAGGAACTCGGGATTCCATCAAGTCAGAGGAAGTGACAGACTTTGAAACAAAGATAAAATGAAAGCGCAGCTCGAAGGGACGCGTCGCTACGCATTTTATATTCCTATTCTGAGATATCACGTTTTCCCCCTTTTCTCTACAATGTGTCTAGCATATTTTTTCGTTTTTAATTTTACGGATTTTCATCGTCGCGTTAGCGACGAAATATAAACTCATTCGATACGCCCAGCGCCCGCAGGCCGCGTGCATCATTGAATATTCGGAGGAGAGGAGCTAAAACGCGTGACAGCGGTTCGCATTAGCGCGTTTTTCCTGTTTCGCATCGGAAATGTTCCATTTCTCCTCGCGGTCGCGCTTTTACGAGCTTTTACATATTTATTCGTCGAAAACGGATGTAACGCTCTTTTGGGCTCGCGCGTAAAAATATCTCCCGAGCGCTTGAAAAATCAATGTCATTGTCGGTTAGCACGATGAGCCGTTAATTGAAGTCGGCAAAACCGAGGCGACGATTAAACGTAACGTAACGTATCAACGTTTAAATAAGAAACAAGTACGTGGCGCGGCCGAAAATAGAACGGATGAAAAAAGTATTATTGAACGGAGAGTTTAGCTCGATTGACCGCCGCGAACGGCGGCAACCGGGTCAAATATTTGCATACGCGGCATTAATGTGATCATCGGCATTGTCGGCCAAACATATATGACAATGACGGCTAGTTTGACGTGCGCGATTATTAGCCCGCGGCTCGCCCATACTCCGGATACGCCTGTAAATATTGCGTGATACCGGCCGCTCGTTTCGCCTTCAAAAGAGGCTTTTGAAAATTCATGCGATCCGTGAGCGTTTACACGCACGAGTCCTTGGAATATCGCCGGTATAATATTTATGCGAATACATTTTTTTTAGAACACGTTTCGGCTATCGTTACGTGCTGTTTTATTCAACTGTATAATATAATTGCCATATTATAATCCATGCGCAGCCGAAATAAATCGCTTTATCGTAATATCCGCACCAATTATTTTGTAATTTTCCCACTGCGCTAAATAGCGTGGGTTCGTCGAATTCTGCAATTTTGATCGCTCTCGTTCTAAACCAGCTCGCGTAGCGATATACGATTATGACAATTGTAGCTTTAGTTAGACGTTTATTACGTGGGCCTGTCGAAGCATCCGTATATATCGACATCGTACAATCGGCATATTTCAGTATCATAAACGACATCGTTATCATCGAGATGGATTTAATTTCGTTCGCTACACATTTCTTTTGACATAATGATACGACAAAAAATAAATTATTCGATAAATCACATTTAATAAATAAATTAATAAAATTTCTTATAGCTCAAAACTGACTTGATTTCTCACTCAAGACTTATTTTGTATGTTTCAGATTTTCACGCGCTTTGGCAAAGTTCTGAAGATCGTCACTTTCACAAAGAACAGTAAGTATGATATTTGATATATATGTACAGCGTCGTTGTCCTAGGACTTGCCAAAGGGAGAACGAGTAAAGGGGGGCGGGAAAGCCGTGGCACTTTCGCGGGTTATAGATCTCGGCTCTTGCGATGCAGACACGCCACGGCACTTTAGTACTTCAGCGTGCTTCAAGTGCATCCTAGCCTCCCTTCGTCTCGTTGCGCGCACTTGGCGCCGTTAGTACTTTCGGAATCGTTCCCCAAAGGGTGTTCTCGAAATACTCGCAAAGGGGGTTGTTAAGGCAGTTTAGGGACATTTCGATACGTGGCACATCTCGATTCTTTTATAATTTACCGATAATTTAACGATATATGATTACGAGGACCTCTGCGTAAAACATTAAGATACCTTAGTCGGTTAATCTAATAATCTATTATTTTTATTTAATTTTTTAATTGTTATTATTTGAGCCAATTTTTTGTTTTAATTTTATTTATATTTTTCATCATTTTAAATTAAAAACATCATCGATTAATAAACTCTTCTAGGAAGCGCGGTGTAGTAAATCGAAGATGATTGGTTTAGATCCGAACGAGCCAACAATTTTAACATTGCTGTTTCGATTTTCGTTGGCGTGTTCTCTTAATCAAAATCGTTAGCGCGGCCGATCGAATAACGCACGCAATTTCTCGTTACACCCGTTATACAACGTATACAAAGAGAGGCCTCGGCGTGCGGCCGACGAGCGCGTTACGAATTCATGCCTATAGCGAACGAACGCGAGAGCATCATCATTCCCTGTGCTCGCGTGCCTATCTGTGTGCGATTGCGCATCGGTGTACGTACATAACGTGACAAATGCAACGCCCGAGTCGTAACGTCGAGTCTCCGCGTGGCTGAACGTACGCACGTGCTCGGGTCTCCTCCCGGAGGTTCTGTAATCGCGAAATTGCACCGGCAAATTTCGGTCGTGAGAGGAATCACGTCTATTAAAATGAGAGACGCGAACGCATTCGAGGAATCTTGACAGAAGTGCGTTTCGCTGGGAGAAAAATAATTACGATTTTATAAAACGTCGATTATTTTCCTTAACATAAGAATGCATAATTCGCGAAATGGGAATTATTTAAATATCTTGATCATTTTTCAAATGGCGCAAGATGAATTATTAATGCGAAAAGTAAATTATGCTGCTTTTATCATAATATTATGTGTATCTCGAGCAAGAAATGTATGTGGAACTAAAAACTATCGAACGTGAAAATTTTTACATTCAATCGCGACAAAATTTAAAATTACGAGCAAGGTAAACGTTAACATCGCGATTATGGCAGACCGGGGGGGGATGAAGGTACGAGGGGATAAAGCGCGCGTATTTTATAATTTTGCGGAGTGAAAAGCAGTTGTTCCTTTTTTTCCTCGTTCGAAACACGGGCTTTGTCATGCGAGAGAGCAAACGAGAGAGAGAGAGAACTTTCTCCTCCTCTCGCTTCCGCGTATTTCAGATTCGAAAATTAAATAACATCGCCGCAGGCCCGATCCTTTGTTTCGCATCGTACGCGCGCCGCGTAATGAAATATACGTGGCACGGCGAGTTACGCGAATTCGACGTACGTATGCGAGATTAAAACTCGCGAAATTGCGGCCGGGTCTACCTTCTCCCTCGCGACGTTTCGTTTAATCGAGATTTAATGGCAATTATAAACCATCCCGACCGGCCGGACGCGGAAAGCGAGCAACGCTGGAGAGAATTCCCTGAAATATTAACTTGGCGAAACGACCGCTCGTGGCTATTCCGCGTTTGTCTCCTGTCGTAATTGTTTATCCTTCGCGAGACCGGAAGAAGTCGAGCAAGCTCGTAAGCTCCCTCCCGTAATACGTCCATTCAAGAATTTACACCCTCGTTCATTCGGCGATAAATACTAGATTAACGTCCGTGAGTGGGCGATTAATCGCTGATAAAAGAAGTTGCGATTTTTATGTTGATTAATTCGTCATTTCGCTCCGTTTTCTGCGAATCTGCGCTTTAAAGTGGCGTAAAGATGCGATAAAGTGCTGGGGAATATTTTGAAAGATTTCATCGTATAATTTATTATTACGCCACGTTTTTACGCAGCGTATATTTAATCGAATATTTCTCTTAATTCGCACAAAAGCGGGATTAATCCCGTACGGAGTAGTTCGGGAAAAACAAAAAGGCGCTCCTCTGTCAGCGGGATTGCGGTCATCGTGTACGGCCGCGCGCACGTGTCCCGGGCTTTAGCGTATTACAGTAAAGAGTTCCATTATCACGGTGGAGCAAATTCGAAAATGAAATAGCGTAGCCGCCGGCTGGAACTTTGGCCGACGCCACTAACGAAACAATTCCGGCTGTGCGCGGGAAAAACGTATTATCGTGGCAGAGTTAGTTAGTTTCTCGCAACGCTCGCAACGCACTAAATTAACGAATCACCCATTTTTACCCGAGCCCTCTGCTCGGATATTTCAAATACACGTATGATTTAGCACAAAAAACCATTTTCCATCTCGAATATCAGATTTTCCGGGGCCTTTTATACTTTTTGCATCTAGGGCCACATCGTCGATTATAAACTGCTCTTACGTATGTTTCTAATATTTTACAGAAGGTATTTTGTAATATTTGTTTCTATAAATATATATGTATATTTAAAGCCATTTTTGCTTCTCTTTTAACTGGCTACAACGATGCAATGGTTTTGCGAAAATAATCGACTCCATTGTTTCAAACAAATACATTATTAAATGAGCAAACATATCCATTATTTATACAACGCAAATTACAAAATCGTACAATATGCCATTAGAGAACGAAAATGTAGTATTATATCTCCTCTAAAATATATTAACTGTTATTAATAATTCATTTTGCCGCACATATACAATGACTCTGTCGAACGTTACGTTGGTATTCGACAAATTTATTAGCTATGGTTACGCTTGCAGAACGCAATGTAAAGTTCACGATACAAACGACATAGTTTCACGATTTTTACCTGTGTTTCAGGCTCGTTCCAGGCACTAATACAATACGCGGATATGCTGTCGGCACAAACTGCTAAATTCGTAAGTATCCGCTTGACTTTGCTTTCTCCCGTTGGTCTCCACTTTATTTCTTCCTCCAGTACGCCCTTGTTTTCTTCCTCCTTTTCTTTTATTTTTTTTTCCTCCCTCCTTTTTTTAAGTTACCTTCTTTTCCGTGACGCTTATCCGCCGCGTTCACTTATCCCCGCGGGACAGATCGAAATTTTCTCGTAGAATATCTCGCGCCGAGAAAATATTTTCCGACCCGCATCCCCTTCGGCGAAGAAAGCCGCGATGCGGCGCTTAATTACAGGAAGTGAGCTCGATGAATGCGTAATCGAAAGATTGATGACGGAAGAAAAAATTCCGGCGTCGAGGCAAGATCGTGGTTTTCCCGATATGCGATATTTTCCCCGGATTTATGGAAAATATCGGCTGCTTTGCAAGCCAAATTAATTCTTGAAGCGCGAACCGCAGATGGGCGATCGATCCATTCCTCGCGTTTTACGCGATTCATCAATACCGATACTAGACTTTATTCGCGGCATTACATGTCGTATCTTTCTTTCTCTCTCTTTTTCTCTCTTGTTCTCTCTATCATTAATATTACTTGATTTGCCGCTTTACCTATCATTCCTGTAATCATTTATTTAACCCGTGATTTAAAGAGCGCCACATCCTGACGATAACCATTTCTATTTTTCTTTTTTTTAAGGAGGTTGAGAAAGCCGTAGCATTAAACTTGCCGCTGCTTAAGGTATCACGAGTTATGTCTCTGGCGTAAACTTTTGTTTTACCTGCGTATCCCTGTAATATCGTTTTATCCCTATAATTAAAAGTGCTAAAAGTATCACGTGTCCTGACAAAAAACTATCCCGGCCCTTCTCTCTTTAAGAAAGCTGAGAGATTTTTAGCAGCATTAAAGCTGGCATTGCTTAAAAAAAATTGAAGATGCGCGCGTGTAGTTTTTGTTTTTTTAAACTTTTCTCTATCATGGATGGCGCAACTAATTTCTATAAAGTCTGTTTACTCCCTAAACGCACGTTGTATCATAAACTAGTACGCTCGAATGCTAATCAACTCTTTTTTTTAATAGAGACCATATAAAGGATGTTCCCTATAAACTTTCTAAAAATATAATTTCTACTTAACTCTCTTTTTTTCAAACTGTTGACTATAATTAAATATATTAACTCTTCCTGTTTATTTAAACACGTTTCTCCCGATTGTACATATTTATCGTGACTTATATTCGCGCGATTTTTTTTTTTTTTTTTTTTTTTTTTTAGCAAATTCCGTTGTGTCACGTGTGTTTGAGGTGACTCGATAATCTTTTGTGCAAATGAGTGTGATGCAGCTATTTCGCTGCCGTGTATATATCGAATGTGTGTACTAATTCTATGTTACTTCATCGCTGTCACTTAAAGTGAATCGTTTCAGAATTATATACACAGCGAACCTAGTTTTAAAGAAAAGATGCAACGACATCTTTCTTTCTCGCTCTTTGCTATTTCGAAATTTTGTTGAAGAACTGTGGAAGCTGGAGATCAAAAAACTCGTTTGTAACGACTGACACACAAAACGCGTATTCGAAAGGGTTAATGGGACACTCTCGTCCCGTTACACCCGGAATTAACTGCGTTACTAGTTACTCGCGTGTAAAATACGCCGTTTTGCATAGTCGGCGACACATCTTCAGTCGCGAACGGCGGAAGCTCGCCAGAAACTTCCGCCACTTCTCGTGCCCGTTCGAATTCATCCCCCGTGTGTTCGAAATCTCTTCTTTCCCCTTCCCATTTACTCTCGCTCCGGTAAACTCGACGCCGCAAACTAGTAAACCGCGCGCTGATCAAAGGGAAAATTAATTCGCTTGAAATACACCGGTTTCGCCGCGAACCACCACCCGCAGTGGTTGTGCAAGACAGAAAATTAATTTAGCTTTGTTGCGGATATCGCTCTTCTCCGATTCTCCCTCCTCCCTCCCCCATCTCTCTTTTCTTCGCTTATCCTAGTCTGTTTTTTCGTTTCTTCCAACGCAAACGAATAAACGATCGCGATTCGTTTGACTCGAAAGATTTCCGTGATAGCTTCTTTTGGATAAATTGTCGTCTTCCAAATTGTTACCGTTGAATATCGAATCAAAAATTCGCGAATATCAGATCGATATCGTCTAATATCGCGCATCTTGCGAAAGGAGTGTCGCTTGAAAATTCGCTGGCGAAATCGATTCGTCTCGCTCGTCGATTATATAACTCTCTCGACCGCGAATAAACCGCCCGAGGAGCAGAACAAAAGAGCGAGAGAGACAAAGAGAGGCTGCCATGCGCGCACGCCGGAGGCTCGCGGCGCGGGCCGACGCGGTAATTATGTACGAAATTCATTAGCTCGTGTAAATATAAAGCGAGACCGTGGCCGGACGCACATATGCACGCATATATACACACACATATATATACATACACACATATATATATATGTACACGCGTCATTGTGCACAATGCAGCGGCCACGCACTATTCAAACAGGCGACTCAAACCCGCGTCCCCGTTAACCACCCCGCGATATCGACGTGATATTAAGAATAAATTTCATTATAGAGTCCCAAAAGTGGCAAAATCAGTCAGAAGAAGTAGACTAAGATTGTAGATTTTTGATCTGGTTCGAGAAGTCGCGGATCTCTCTGAAAATTCCACAACTCGAAACCGATTTTCTTGGGTTTCTTCAAGTTTGTAAGCTTCTTGATCGAAGGCTTTTCAAAACTTTTCGATCTACAGCTTCCATTCCAACTTTCTTGTGACCGATCTTTGAGTCACAATCTTGATAGTGTCTGATCTTTTTTATTAAATCGATTGAATAATTGCACAGTTTTTTTCTTTCAAAAGATTTTATTATATTTTTCTCTTAAATTTCGCGAAATTAATTTCATTTATTCTGTGTTTTCGAAACAAAATAGTAAATAAAGATTCTGGCCTCTGGCTCTCCCAGTTTTATTGAAATTTTAATTAATAAATGGTAATAAAATGGTAATTAAAATTAAATGGTAATAAAACGACAGGGAAATTTCTTTTCGAGAAATTAGACAAGGAAGATGAATTGATATAAAACAATGTGTGAGTCACTATATGATGTGTTCCAAGCTTGAGCACAAAAGCGTTAATCGTTACTTGGAATCGCAAATAATGAAGAACGCACGATTTCTTGCGCAGTCGCTCGATGGGCAAAACGTCTACAATTCCTGCTGCACGCTGCGCATCGATTACAGCAAGATGCAGAATCTCAACGTCAAGTACAACAATGACAAGTCCCGGGATTACACCAACCCGAACCTACCGACCGGCGACGCCAATCTGGACGCTGCGTCGCTCGCCCTTGGCGGCGAATTGCTGCCCCAGTTGCTGATGGGTGCCGGTTCCCAGCCGCGTGCCAGAATACCCGGTGAGTATTTTCGTATAAAATCCTCTTATGAGATACGTGCCCTTCTTCCCCCGATTTAGGGGACCGCATTCGACTCCAAATAAATTCCAATTTATTTAGAATTATTATTATTTAAAAACGTGTATATTTATTATAAACGTATATATTAGGATGCGAAATGCGAAAATCAAACGCGAACAATGAACGCGAAAATTTTGCGCGATCCTTTATAATAATACACGGCGTGTATTAGTCGAGCAGGGTAGAATTCGCAATAGACGCTCGTGCAAAATTCATCGTCATTAAACGCTAGTCAGATTCGGGCGAAATTCAACCAAAGCGATTCTGAATAGACCGTATGTGACACATAAACAATGAATGTGCACGACTCTATACAATAGTACGGTAATAGTTGAATATATGGATGGTTTGCGATAGGCGTTTTCAAAATTCATTGCCCCGTTAAATCTACAATTGTGTATGAATTTGGAGTTTTTCTTTTCCTTTTATGCTTTTCACGCGCGAGAGCTTCTAAAGTTTTGTGAAAAGCGCAATTAAAAGATTGATAAACAATTAGTGGCGCGATCTCGCACAATGTTATATTCTATTGAAATTAATTATGTTAATAGGAATACCGATTTTCCGTTATTTTGACAACGCGCTAAATTATTATCATTATCAGAATAATAATAGTAATGATAATAATAATAATAATAATAATTATTATTGTTATTATTATTACCATTATTATCATCATCATCATCTCGCAGTGGTGGAAATAATTTGTTGGCGTTTAAAACTTCACCGGCGGCGGTCGGTCAGTCGTAATTATTTCCTCGGGTGAATTAATTAATTACAAAGTACCGGACGAGAGCGATCCGGCTTGGCCGCGCGCGCCGAATCGTCGGGATTTTTGCGTTTGTTACCGTCGCGACAACGCTAATTTAAACTCACACGCTCGGTTCGGACACGCTTGTTTGGGTTAAATTAATTTCACGGCGTCGTTGTTGGTGTTTAATCTGTAACGTACTGTAATCCACTTTACGCGTCCTATCTCGTTGCGCAAACAGTTCGTTGATGGCCGAGGATTAGGAGAGACCCGCGACGGTCAGCCGCAAAATTAATCCGGCCGCATTAAGAAAATCGACCGCCGCGGAAGAGATTCGACCAGAGGCACACGAACGAAACGACGTTGTTAGAGAGAAGCGCGGAATTCTCGGGTATCCCGGAAAATTGGCGGGAAAGGCGCGAGTCTCTCCACGATTCTCGATCTCATTATCGCTGTATCATTTAAAATCGTTATTATATTATAGCTTATTTTCCCTGTCGCAATGTTTAACAGTGATAATAACGTCATCTGAACTTCCTGAAGTAGAGTCCATTGCAGGGGCACCGGGTGTGCTGCCCACGCCCTTCGCGGCCATGCACGGCCTCCCGTCGCCCTTGGCCGGCCCGTACAACGGCGTACCCCCCGCCGGGGGGCTCGCCGGCCTCGGCGGATTTCCTCTCGGCGCGGCTGGTTTGGGGGTGCGGGTGCAGGGAAGCGCCCAGGCGTCGGCCGTGTTACTCGTCAGCAATCTCAACGAGGAGGTAAGTAACCGGAAAATTCGGACTGTCTTCTCCCTTCCCGTTTCCCCGACGCGTTGCTCCCTCGACGCTAAGGACGAGAGAGGCCCCACGAAGACCCTCAACGAGGCATACACGAAGAAAAGATGGACGGAGACCTTTCGACGTAATTTTCGAAACTTTCAATCATTGCTCGCGATATTCTCATCGAGAACTTTTAGTGGGTAGTCTTTAGCGAGAAGCACCCCGGAAATTTTCTTCGTGTATTTTTCCACCAATCTCGGAATCGTGTAAAGTGATCAGGAAGTTTCCCTTCCACTAAACGTCGTGCTCGTTTAACCGTTCGTTTTTGTCGAAAAAATTTTCAATTTGAAAACTTTCCGATTCTAATTAATGCACATCAATAAAATGTGTTTTGATTCGCATAAAAAAAGTTTATATATCATGTATTATGTAAAATATCTTGGAATGTATAATATTATTAAGTCTCTCAAATCGAGTCTGATTTCTCGTTTGGTTGATCGTTCTTAATTAGAAGCTAGTCTAAATTAGACTAAATGTCAGATAGCGAATATAGAGACGTGTGTACGGATTCCACTAAGCACGATGTGAGCATTTAGCAAGACGAAATGTTAAACGTACGCACGCACATGACGATATGCGGGGAGAATGTCGAGTAGGCTGAGAGCAGCACTGAGAGAAATAGACCGCCGCCACGTACGAATAAATATGTCGTATGCGAATAATAATACATCCTGTAGTACGGCATTTGTGTCGTGCAATGTGTGCCTTTGCGAAAGTCGCTCTGATTCCGGTGTGTCTCTATCGCGAAAAACATAACCAGGCCTTGCCCGCCGCAAAACGCACATACGACACACATGTACGCGCGACCGCCTCTTCTTTACATCTCTTTGTACCTCTATTCTCACTTCTCCCTGTCTACTCTCTTGTCTCGTACCTCGCCCAACCCTCGTAAGAAGACCGCAGTGCTATTTCTCTCAGTGTCGCTGCGACGCGCGATCGACCAACCAACCGAACCACCCCCCGCCTACCAGGTATATATACGCACGTGCATAAACAGGTATAATTACACAGCCTAACGAGCGAGTTACAATGTAGTGCTACGTAGGCGAACCCCGCAGTCTCTCGTTCCTTTGGCTCGATCTTTCCATCGAAATCACGACTGAAGACTTAAAGATCTCCTCTCTCGAAAACTTAAAGATCTATGAGATTGCAGTTCAATTTATATTCGTTAACGAGAAGTAAATTCATCACAAGAGAATAGTTGCGAAATTTATTTTATTCGCGACATTGGACTATTACACATTGATCGTTTGAAAATTATAAAAGAAAAGAATGCATGACATATATTTTGATTTGATGCAGAATTTATCTGATCGAGATTTTTGATTAGAATTTTTCGGGATCGTTTTTTCTTAGAGGGTGGAGGGTGGAAAGATCGAGCCGCGATACGTATGTGCCCTGTTTCGTCACGAAATCTTCGATTCTGTCCTACTTTGCCCCGCTCATTTTCGAAACACACATACAAATCACTCCCACGTCACCATCCTGCGCCCTAATTAATTCGTAGCGTCGTCGACTACGACGTTACTTCCTGCGAGACGACGTTTATTATCTCAAACATTTCAATCCGTGATACAACTTATAGATGCACATTAAGGATCATGTGTTCTTATCATCTATTTGTATTCGCGTTTAAGTCATACCTTGTGTCTTTTCGTCATAGAAACGTTTATACCGATGCTCTTGCGATCGATTCTTGCATACAAACATAAACGTTTAAAGGCAAAAATATGAACATTATCGAGTAAGAAACAACCAGCAGGATGATGAATGTCGTCTCGGCAAGAAACTGTGTGTCGGCGTCACACTTCGCAGCTGCAACTTGTCACTACTGTACTATAACTATGTGTACTACTATCGTTGCGTCGCGCACAAGCTTCGTACAATCCGATCCGATCATCCTCGCGAATCTCGTTTTCGAGTTTCGCGAAGCAAGGAGATATTTTCTCTGATTCTCTGCGACAAATCGAATGAATGTAATATACGATGTAAAAATAAAAGTAATCGGATTTTTTCTTCGCATGAAGAGTCGATCGTATTCTCCCCCTCTATTCGATATTACAAATTTTTCACGATGAAACCGCGAATCTTGTGCGCTTCGCCAACACTATACATTGAATCCTATTATACTCGCTGACTACTGACTGGACTCTGTCTGTTCTCTGTGTAGATGGTCACGCCTGACGCTCTCTTTACCCTGTTTGGTACGTCTCCACATTTATATTATTAATTATATTACATTATTAATTATTATATTTACACCCTCTCGCGTTCTTCTCACACACACACACACACACACATAGCCACACGATCCGAAAACACAGACGCGTAACACGTGAACACGCACATTCGGATACACGCGCGATTAAGATAAAAAAAGGAGAAAAGAAACACAGGATATGTATAGGCAAAAAGACAATGTATTGGAGTTTTTCCGGTCAATCCGGTGAATATTGTTCGCAATCTGAGCAATAACACCGCTCACACGGACATACACGAACGTAAAATCTTTCTCACACACGATTGTCACATTCGAAGTTACGTCATACCGAAGAGAAAAGATTTCTTCCTTCTTTTCCGGGTTTTTTTTAAATTTAATTTGATTCTATATTTGTTTCTCTCTCTTTTTCTCTTTTCTTTTCTTTTTTTTTCTTTTTTTTTTTTTAGCAACTTACTAAAACTCGAAAGCATTGTCATTCTTCCTCTAAAATCATGTTTACTCTCGTGAAACATTCACCATAACATATATTCTATGATTTAACGTTTAATCCGTATTCTTCCGATATTTTCGTGATTTCAACTTATTTTATTACTACAAGCTATATTCCATTCGCAACTCATGATCACCGTCATATACATATGTCATCGCCATCGTCATATAATAACAGCGCCATATACTGTCGGCCACCACGAACGAACACACGTTCTCCCACATTCTCTACTTCCAAGCATCTCTCTTCTAAATTATTTCATTAATATTTTTATTAATATTAGTTCCACACAACCTTAATATTACGTAAGCTTTCGCTTATTTTACGTAATTCCATAGGAACTCACTATTAACGAGGCGTGCGACTCGGCCGTCGTGTTTTTTCTGTAAGCTGCGATTGTTATGCAGATTTTCCCGGATAATTACAGACAAACGTACAAAAGTCACGTACTATGTTGAAAAACGCGTTTTAAAAATTATGAAAATTTCTATCCATCTTTCTCTCTCTTTTTCGTACACATTCTTTTTTGCGGTTTTTCGCGCTAGCGAAAATTTCATCAGCTTAACTACGCAGTTACGTAATAGCGAGAAATGTAAAATTTAAATGAATTAAACTCTCTGTGTAAAAAAACTGTGTTGTTCTGTCGTTAATTTTTGTAATGCATTTTATTTTAACACAAATTTATTTATTTGTCAAAATATTAAAAATTGGAAATTTAGTTATTTACAGAGTAATAATCTTTCTATTTTTTCATCCAATTTCTCTTTTTTTTCTTGATGAAATCACTATTTTTTTAAAAAATGTGAAAAGAAAGATTAACTCGATGCATGTTTTACTTTAAAATGTAAAGATGGAAATGTCATAATAAAATTGTTTTGTGTGCTAAGAAACTTTTTATATTAGAAATAAGAGCCGAATCGCTCGCCTCTTGCATGTCCCGAATCTTAGATCCGATCGTATCCCGATTTCGATCGACCGAATATTGCCCCGTTCATCTTCGATAACCCTTAGACGCGCAGCCTGTATAAAAGAATACACAATATACCGTAACCACTCGAGTTTACTAAAGAAAAAATTTTGCATATATTGTGCATATAGGCGTTTACGGGGATGTACAGCGTGTGAAGATTCTCTACAACAAGAAGGACTCGGCACTAATACAGATGGCCGAACCTCATCAGGCGCTTTTAGGTGAGTGCACGTCTCGCGAAACGCGACACCTGCGACGATTTGAAATCACATTTCACATCACCGTAAACAATTCATACATTAAATCCTCCCCGAGAGATGAATCATTTTATAAAGCTCAAAATATAAAAGATATTTTTTCGTTGTTGAAAATTAAAAGATGAAAAGTTTTATATCATTTATAACATTATAATTATATTATAATACGCATAATATTATGTATATTATGTATATATTATAATTAGTGATTAATTAATATTGTTTGTTTAATTTACGACAGCGCTGACTCATATGGACAAGTTAAGAGTGTTTGGGAAGCAAATCAAAGTAATGCTTAGTAAGCATCAAACGGTCCAATTGCCAAAAGAAGGTCAGCCGGACGCGGGCCTCACGAAGGATTATACCAATAGTACTCTTCATCGATTCAAGAAACCCGGCTCGAAAAATTATCAGAACATCTACCCGCCGAGCGCAACCCTGCATTTATCAAACATTCCGTAAGTAATCCGGCGACGATAAAGTAAGATCCGTATTCAACGGACGCTACATTTTTTTTACTTTTAACGGCATTTGATTTACTTTATTCAGGGCTACGGTAGCTGAAGAAGAGATCAAGGACGCTTTTACCAAGAATGGTTTCACCGTGAAAGCCTTCAAGTTCTTCCCAAAGGATAGGAAGATGGCTCTCATACAGATGCCTAACATGGACGACGCCGTGGCTGCGTTGATCGTAAGTAGCTTTCGCAATTAGCTCATTAGTCCCGTAAGAAACGATGAGCCTAATTCTCTTCGATGAGAAATAAAATTCTTCGTGACCACGTTATAAAAGAGAAGACGTACATTGCTTCTGTTTATAGTGTGCGCTTATCGTAGATACTTTCGAAAGAGTATAAAAAAATTTAACATTTTGTGTGAAGTGATAATTTCAGTAAAAATGTAGAAAGTAAGTCCTAGCTGATTTAAAATCAATTCTTTGTTTCTCTTTCGCAGAAAATGCACAACTACCAGCTCAGCGAGTCTAATCACCTCAGGGTGTCATTCTCCAAGAGCAACATCTAACAAGAATCGCCACCGCACGAGCAGCAGTGGTACCAGCCCTACGCCCTAGTTCCCCTTTGGTCACCCGCCTCGGTCTACGACTGATGGTCTCGCAGTTGGATCCGCATAGTGCTCGTCCGTTCCTGCAACGCTGTTATCGGCCGGCTGTATTGCACGCGAAACCCACACGGGACTGCATTGCGCATTTGAACTCCGGAGCAGCATAATCGGACAGGTGTTGCCTTGTCCGAGTGAGCTTAGGGTGCTCTCGAGACCTTGCTCTCTGTTGTTGGGACATCTTTATGGCACAAACGTGTTTCCGCATCCGGTCAATTCTGTCGATACGAAGGTTGCTAGGGTGTTTCGAAATGTACCAGGGCTGCAAGCGCTGAAGCTAAATAACGAAGAGACGAAATTGCGACGGCCTTCTCGAAGGTAGTTTCCGGTGCTGGCTTTCGAGCGCGTTAACGCGACGATTTCATAATTTTAGAAACAGATGAGATGATTTTTAATGATAAGAAATGGTGAAGATAAAGAGAAAGAAAGCCATTCGCGATCGATCGAGCAATCAGTCTCTCTTGTGAAAGCCAGGACCGTTATGCGAAGAGGAAAACACAAAAAAGAGAGAGAGAGGCAACTAAAATGAAGAGTCTGGCAGCCGCGCGCTCCTATTTAATTCTAATTTCTCTTTCCTCTCTTGTGCTTTCTCTTCAAAAGAAATCACGCATAAGAGAGGGAAGAAAAATGAGGATTAAACAGGAGTGAGGAAGTGAAATAGTTTGACGAACAGAATTCCTCGACTCTTATACAGAGTTTACGTTAGGGAAGATAAGATATATATTATTGTATGTGAAATTCACAATTGCGCGGCTCGGACCGCTACTCTAATTATCATTAAGGATTTTTCAAAATTGCGTGGACACAAAGGGCGACCGTCTCGCGACAAGCGGACACGCGCGCGTTCGCGCGACGGCTTCCGTATATATCGCAGGGTCTTCGGAAAGTAAGTCTCCAATCGTCGATATGTTGGTTCGATGAGCGGACACGAGAAAGAATAGAGGAGAGAGTAGGAAAAGAAAAATAATAGGTATATCCGACTATCATGTCGCGCGATCTAGTCGTGCGATCACGCGCGTGACGCGGCGGCCAGCAAACCAAGTAGCGTTTCCCCGCGAGACAATCTTCATTCTTCGGACGACCAAACAAATCGCGCGACCGTACTTCCTCGTGGCTTCCGTTCCGTTCGAGAGCAAGACAATATGATCGATGACGCTACGAACAGTATCGAGTATGACGGAAACTGCGTATTTCGATCGAGCGTCTAAGTAAAGAAAATGGCCAATGTTACGTTGGGACCCTTTACATGCTTTCACGAGGTACTCTATTACTCCGCCAATAAACCGATCGTCCTCGTTGACTTTGCGTCACGAGATTATTAAATAGCAATGTGGAGAGGAGACGGAGAGAGAGGATAGCTGGAAGCGCCAAATTGGTCTCTCTTCAAAATTCTTGCGGATTTGCTCCAACAATGATGATGTTTATCGACACAATTGATCAATCCGTTCGTGAATACAAAGCAATTGTTTAAAGTCACTACGTGCTGAGAGCTATTCTTCATTCGGAGGACTCCGAACGCATTATCGGCTCCCTCGACCTGCCTACGTTTTATGCTTCTTCGAGGGCGAGTCTCTCGCTCTCGAGGGTATCTCCAGTATTCTCGACTATCCGGCGGAGTCGAACGCTTCTTAGAAGAGATCGAGCGGAGCCCGATCGCTCGATGAGTCCCCCCTGCTCTGGAATCCACGCGGCGCGACCGCGTACGTCGTCGCATAGTCGTCGCAAGTGGCATTTTTATAATTTCTACGTTTCAGTTTGAAATAAGTATTATCGCACGCGCGCACACACTTACATACAGACATACAAACACACATACATGATCTATCTCTTTATGAGACCGTACAATTATGCAATTAGACATACAACATACACATATACACAATCATGTACGCGCCGCGCGCGAGATAAATGTTATCGACCGCCCTCTAATTTATGTATGCAACACAAACACAGCGTATAAATAGTACATATGCGCAAATTTCTTAGTTACGGTAGATGCTTAGGCATGTGTTAGGATCTTAATCGTATAGTAAGCGACTAGATAAGTAATTGACTAGGAGAGGAAGGAGTGAACCGTTGAACATATCGCTAATTAAAAGATTTGCGGAGCGCGCGCGGGGAATTGGTACTATTTGTAGCAGATCGGCGGGTACGGCTCGGGACGCCTCGAGGATGATTCGCGACTATAGACAATATCCACGCGAAGGGAGAGCAAGTGGGGCCTCTCTTTATGCGAAGGATAGGTCTATTGCGCGGCGAATCTCGATTCATATCCCATTGAGAGTTCCTGATATCGAAGCATTCCTTGAGTAAATTGACGGTTGTGAGAGGATGTGCGCCGTGAAAGTAAGCGAATATCTTCAAGAAGTATCAAAGTATGTGTGGAATTTACGCGAGGGGTAAATACTCGAGGAGGCAAATCATTTTCCGATTACGCGAATATGTTTGCGTCGTTGGTTTCTTGGACAACAGAGATGCACACATACACACATAGATACAAGAGGAAAACAAAAGGTAACAAGTTAGAATTGTAGAATTGTATTTACAGGGATTTCGTAGAGGCGTGCAAAGCCGTAGAAACCGATCGGTCAACTCCTCGAGGAGCTTAAAAAGTGTTCTTGCCGAGAAGTCGTGCGAGATGGAGTTTCGCTAAAGATCCTCGATCTCCCTTTCTATCAAAGATCGAGAATCGCACCAAAAGGAACATACCGCGCGCGCATCCCGGTGAAGCTCGTGGATTTTTGTCTAATCGACGTTTTGTTGAAGTCAATTAAATTTTACTGATATAACTAATAACTGAACGTAGAGAGAAGTAGAGAGAGAGAAAGCGAAAGAGAGCGTGTTGGAAGAGGATTGTGCGGAGGAATAACTGAGTGAGAGAGAAAGGACGAGAATAAAAGAGAGCATGTGAAAGAGACAGAGGGAAAGTGAGTGAGTGAGTGAGTGAGTGAGAAAGAAAGAAAGAAAGGGTAAAGGTGAGAAAGGGGCGTATTCACGAAAAGTGTAGTATCGTACGACTTTGAGACGGCTAAAATTATATGGAGGAACGGGAAGGGTTTTCAAGCCTAAACGCGCAAACAAACCCGTACATGGCAGGGAAGTGACGTAACTGTGAAAACAAAGCGAATGCCGGCCCGGGCATAGTGTGCTGTTTGTGTGCCAAAGTAGGCTTAGCCGTTTTAATCTCTAGAACGGGGATCTCTTAGTGAGTTGTGCGAACGGGATATCCTTGTTCGATCGTCGCGAGCACCGATTCCCAGGGCTTTCCCCCCTAATATACGCGTGTATAACGTTTCCCTGGGATCGGCGTCTCACCGATCGAGAAGTACCGACCAATCAGAGCTAGTTGTTTAGAGACGTAGCGAGTAGCCGGCATGAGCGAAGGGGCCAGTCTTTGCATCTATGATCTGTATCTTTTTCGGACCTCTGATACTACGCTATTTACTTGGACTGCATTTATACATTCTTAACCGGACGCATGTTCCGAGTACACTTATCGCACGAGGGGCATTCACGCGAGAACCTACACACGTATACCTCAAATAATAACTCAATCTACACGATCATTTATACAGACGCACACACAGATTCCAGCGGATATAGTTTATACTTCGCCGGATGGGCTATACCTTATTTTTACGTTTTAAATACCTCGTTTATATTTTATTGTACATCGACCTAGAGACATTTCAGAATTGTATTTGGTTTTACAGTAATTTGACTTTGTTTCATTTATTTTATTCAAATCATTTTTGCATGCAGTTTTTTTAAAGCGATATTTGTAGCGCTAACGTTTATGTCTTTTCGATGGAACAGAAGGAAAAGAGGAAAGAAGAGAAAAGAAGAAACCGTGCAGGAATTTTTGTGAAAAAAAAATCATACTTTCGGCACGATATTGTCTAAACTGTACCTGAACAACGCTCGTACAGGGCGTTTACTTTCGACCTCGAGTTCTTGTATTCCTTTCCGCGAGTTGCAACGTCGAGCACCCAATACTCGCGCCAAGTTGCCGAACACTACACATATGCCGATCATTCGTTTCTTAGCACATTCCTGTGGACGCGCATGACGTGCGTCCACCCACACGGAATCACATGATACACACACGCACACAATATCTATGTGTATGCATCCAGTGTTTCCCTTTTTTTCCTTTTAGCCGATGTAAAATCCAAATGTTTCTTTTTGTTGCGAAAAAACGCCAATCCACCACGCTAATGGTGACAATCAGCTCTTTTGCTCGCAAGAGGGAGGAATCGCGTCGCGAGATTCTTCCCGTTATTGCCAAAGTTTTCGCGAACTTCGTTCCTTCGTAAGGGACTATTATTAGTAGAATTACCGGAAACGGGGCAGCTATATACGGAGCTGTATATCTCTACAGGGTGCCCGACGTTAGAAATCGCACAACTGTTCGGTTGATTCGTCCACCGAACGCGTACGATACGCGGCCTTCCTCCTTTCGGCTCAAACGGTCCTCGCGTGATAGGCGCAAAAGCAAGGGAAAAGAAAAAGAGGCGGCACCCTGTAGATAGATCGACTATATCACTAGCTAGGTTGAGGGGGGCCGAGGTGAGGGTTGGAGTAGCCAGCACTCGCTACATGGTGTCGTAGATTATTCAGACTCCGAAGTTTCCGCAGACTTTGTCGCGCGAGGAGAGTGATTCGGAATCCGAGGGATCGTGAGTGATTTTCCGATCGAGTATGATGCCCCGCGCGAATCGACGGGAGTGCCATGAAAAATTTTCGTTACGAAAAAATTGATTGATGAACAGATAACCATCTCATTGAGCGAAGATGTACGTTCGACTAGAGTGGTGCGACTTAGCTATGTTAACGAGCAGTGGTCTCTCCCTCTTATCGAATCTTGCGTATCGTCTATCGCTCGATTCATCGACTCTGGTGGACGGAAAGGATCACAAAGGTGACGCGGGTGAGATATCGCACTCTGACCAAGGAAATTCGGGGTCTGGTAGAGAGCCACGCGTAGTAGACGAAGCTTAGCAGAGGGTATACATAAACTCTATATATGTATATATATATACGCGAGCATACATAAGCATATAGACACACTCCGCGAGTCGCACATACACACATACACACATAATTTACACAGGCGCATACACATCGTATTCACACGACTTATATCTACTATATATTTGATATATCGCATTGTAACAGGTGTGTCCAAAATGCAACGGCTGCATCCCGATAATCTATATTTTATTAATAAGGGATAAGTCTATATTATTATATTATAGAGTTACTAACGTGTTACACAAATTATCACATAAATTAGAAATGAAATGAAATGAGATTAATCTATATAAATATATTGTATAATGTGTGCAGCGGAGGGAAAAATTCAAAAGAGACCACACATAGGGCGAATTGGGAGCATGTAATACACACACACACACACACACACACACACACACGTAACGCGATCGAACGGAGGCGCGCGAGGTGTATAAGATATATGACGAGTTTTAAATGACTATATCTGTGCTATATCGTAAATATATCGTAAATATATCGTTGAAATTCAGGAAATGTGGTCTGCTTGCCTAATCGGGGCCTTAGGCGTCGTTCACACACCGAGAGAGAAAGAACAAATTTAAGAACATCGCGAGATATGCATCGTTGTCGGCTCGCGAATCGACGCAGTCTCTTCCGTTGTTCTTTTTTTATTACAAATTTTTTCCATATTAAGACGCCGAGAGAGGGAGACGCAAATCAGCTATGACAGAAGTTACCATTGTCACGAACAATTCCTTTCTTTGATATCGAGAAAATGATTGAGATATTACATTTAGATGACTGGCAATAAAAAAAACACACACATACACATTTCAACATTTATACACATGCGCGTAAATATAGGGAGGGACGCAGCTCGAAAATAAAATAAGTATACTTTAGTTTATTGCGAGAGGAGAGAAGCATTAAAAAGACATAAAAGTGCGAAAGTGACAGAGATCTTCGGAATAGAGCATCAGCCATAAGAGAGTCGGTTGTAATCGATGGATATTCTATAGAAAAGATTGAAAAATCTCAAAATAGTTTCAAGAAAGATCGTTCACATTAAATGTAAAATAATTATATATTATTAGATAACAATTTAAAAAATCCTTGAATGAATTAAAAAAAAACATTAATAGAATCATTAATATTTTTCTTGAAGAAATTTAGTAAAGCTATTAATTCTTAAATTTGAATATTTTAAATTGCACTCATCAAAGAACGGTACTTAAGAAAGAATAATTATAACATTTTTTTTTTGTTATTTCATGATCGATTTTTATTATCTTGATCTCCTTAGTTACGAAGGAAATCAAAGTGTAAGTTTTCTTCTACATATCAAGAAATGTAAATGGATTATTATTATTGATTGAGCGACTCGATGATTTTCTTATCTACTCTTATTTCTATAAAAATCACGATAATTTAAATTGTCAGAATAAAATTCACGATGGACACGATAAGATTCACATGGCTGAGCACTCTTCCGATGATCGACCGTCGTCGACTTTGTGATTTTCCGTGAAAGAGGGAGAAGAGGGATCAGTCCTTTAGCCCTGAATTATTGGTGAATTTTTACTTCAATCGTTTGAATGCTTTTCCTTTTCATGTCGAAAAGTGCCAGCCCGTCGTCTCAATTGATTTTCAAATCGATTGACTTAGAATATTAAATGTTAGGTAATCGGAAGAACTGCGACGATTGTCGTAAGAAAATAGAACGATCGCACTTGGCACTTTTCAAGCATATTGCTACGATAATCCGTGGCACTCAAATGGTTAAAAGAAATTAGTGAAGGCAGAGATCTTGATATGGAGCCATCGGTGGGAATAGAATCGAGCCTATATCGCTATCGTCACACTGATATGGCCAAGTATCGCGAGAACAAACTTGTAGATAAACGTACAATTCAATAGAGCCTAATTTACGAGGTAAAAAAAAACAGCGAAAAGGAGAGAGGCCCCCTCCCCCTTCTTGAGATGAGACGATACCCTCGTGATCGAGAATGTAGGATACGTTTGTTTTTTTTTTTTTCGATTAGCGTACGAGAGACAATTAAATCATAAGTGATACGCTACATGCATCTCTCATGATTTAACTGTTTCTTATACGCTAATCGTATATTGTAAGTTGGTGAGAATTGTAGAAATTAATTACTAAGCAGTAGTCGTTAAGCTCGATGGGAAATGTTGTTCGAATGAGAAGAAAGGGGAGGAAAGAGAGGCACGCGATCTCTTCTGTAACAAGAGGTGCGTTTAATGGTGTGAAAAAAAGAAAAAAACCAGTTAAGTAGTGTCTTAGAATCGTGTAGTAGCTCCTTTCTAATTAAGCCTCCAGACTAAGTAATGTGTATAGTTAAATGACAATCACTCGACTCTCTATATCGACAATTGACGAAGGGAATCTCCGAGCCGTGATAAGCTGCCTACGCACCGAACTACCCCTTTTCATGTTTCCTTCTTTTCCTCCCGATTCGGCCCATCCCTTTTAACCTTTTCGCAATCGAGACTTTCAATCGTGGACTTTCTTCGAGAGACTTTCACTGAACTGGCGAACGTGTAGCGTTCCAATTCGCGAGCTTTGCAGCCAATAAATGTAAATAAGAAGATGGACCTAAAATATACGTCATTCGTCTCCGATTCGCGTCGTTATCGCGACTTGTTTATCCGAAAGTGTCTAGATCGATAAATAGATTGATGTTTCTCTTGCAAGTCGGTTATACATTAATTATTGAATGGACAGTTTTATGTCTTCGAGATGTGCCCAAATTCATATTTTATCAATTGCCTCTTAATAATATAATGAAACTTATTTTATAAAAATTGCTAGCGCGAATAAAAAAGTATTCCAAATATAAATATATGTTTCTTGTTTCACAAAATCACGAAGCTTATATAGAGTAGCATTTGTAATATTTTTCTCACCATTTTTGGCGTTCAAATTTCATAAAAAATCTCAGGTTTGTACATATGTTATTTCTTCGATATCGCTTCTAACGCCTCATCGGCAAAAATCTTGCCAGCTATTTTTTCGCCTGTTCGCAAAAACTTCCAAGTCGATCAAGTGTCAGCTCTGCCTTTCAACTCTCGAACTTTCCAAATTCCGTGCCCAGGAAGATCCTTGGTTTTCTGCATGTACCTTCCTTCTTTCCCTTGTCTCACAGTCGTTCTTCGATCCGATCGACAGCTGATGACATGACAAATCCGCGCGTTATATCAAACTCGCAGGCATCTTCCACTTTTGAAAAAAAAAAACAAAAAAAAACAATAGATCCGATAAATCGAAACTACGCGGATCGCGTCATCGGGATATCGATCGATCGGCGAGGCACGCTTTAAAAACTGATAAATCTTCGAAAGATATATGTGAGAGAGAAAACCAATCATGGGCCAGGAATTGCGTTGCAAGTCACAATCAGCTCGTCTCCGGCAAAGCAAACAATTTTCTTTCGACGAGAACCATTGTCAGAGCGGGCGTTTTACGGTTAAGCTCTTTCTTAGTAAGTTCAATTAGGGATTAGTCTATCGATAGGGAGACGGAGATCGCGAGTGATTCTTTTCGTTCGTTGCGCTTGCACATCCGCGATGCGAATAGCGAGGTGCGGAGAAGCGCGTTAATAAGTAGGAGGGGAAAAAGACGTAATTAAGAGGAACAATCAGGGACAAGCATTGGAGAAAAGAGGAGGAGTAAAAGGGAGAAGAGATTCTCAGATCGTCGGGAAAAAAGAAAAAAAAAATGGCGAGACGATCTTTCTATTATCGATCAGCATTTACGCGAGAGACGCGCGCACATCCACACGTTCGCATTTATCACGTACACGTGCACAATATATATTTATACAAAATACACAGACATACGCAGACATATACACGAGGATTTGTGACACGTGTGATCACGTACGATTGACGATCTTCCACGTGCCTTCTTTGGCGCGACACGCTTTACACACGTAAAAAAGGAAATCACACACACGTACAATATACGCCGACGCGATATTATTAACATTATCGCCCACGACCTTTTTATAGCTCGACTCTTGGACCCTGCTCCCCGTTTATTTTTTTTCTCGAATTTCCATTGACAGATCTGGAGGCGCTTTTCGATCTTTACAACGATCATCGATGCGTCGATCGGATGCAGGCTTCCTTGAATCTTTTTCTTAAGGAATCCTTTTCTTTTTCTTATTTTCCGCTAAGGACAGGATAACATTCTATCCTTTTTTTTTGCGTATTTATTTTTAATTTTAATCGGAAACGTGTGTTAGATGCTGTCGTATTTTTATATAAATTAGTGATATATACTATTCTTCGAATCTCATCGCATTAATAGTACTTTTATGTTCTACATTATATGCACACGTTCTTAATATAAAAAAAATATATATATATTATATATATATATATATATATATATATATATATATATATCACGAAATATTTAAAATCTTAGGAATCTATCATACATATCATGCCAGCGGTTCGATTATACATCTTCCAGGTCTGTCTGCATTAACGTCTTATGAGTATCCCGTTCCCCGACTTTGACATTATCGGTATTATCATCGTTCACTACTTCTTCCCACTGTGAAATTATCGATTTTATTTTTTTTTGCGTTACTCTGCGCTTCTTATCTTTTACTCTTTTAATCTTACTTTTATACCTTTTAATTGTCGCCGGTTGCTATTATCATCGCCACTGCGATTGTTACTGTTATTTTAGCGCTAATTACTATTAATTAATCTACTCTTAATATAATTATCTTATTCTTACGTTTAATGAATTTCCTCTTTCTTCTTTTTTTTATCTTAGAATTAACGAAGCATTTGATTATGTGCCGAGAGGGAGACTGTTCTTCGCTAGAAATACTTTTTAGGTCGTACAATTCTATGTAATCTTCCCAATTTTAATTTCTTCAGATTGTCACTCTTTCAGCAATATATCGCTATTTTTCTCTCTATCATTACTCTCACTCTACTACTCATCACCATTACTACTCTCATTATATTCGCTCTATTCATCACTTTCCACTGTAACTCTTACTCTTTCCGCTTCGCATCTTTTGTGCCTCTATTAGAAAATTAGAAAACGGTCCGCATTGCTCGCCTATTAATTTTATTCAATTGACATAAGACTAAATTACAAGATTAATAAAATTAAAGAAACATAAATAGGACATATTTAATATTTTTACGTATTCGACATTAATAGCAATGGGGATCGCATATAAATCTGCGTTTAATCTCTATCTCATAACTATGTTGTATCTTTTCTATCTGTCTATCTATCTATCTCTCCCTCTTTCTCTGTCTGTCTCTCTCTCTCTCTTTTCATCTACATATATTTCTCTCTATTTCTCTTAATCTTTCTCACATACTCTCTCTCTCTCTCTCTCTCTATGCATATATTATTATTATTATATATATATACACACATCGATAAGTTTTATATAATACTATACTCCTATTCTTATCATTACTATATTATTCTATTGTATTACTCTACTATTATGAGTGCTGCTGTTGCCGCTCCGCGACCAATGTTTGCTCTTGTTATAACTAAATGCGTTTTGCGGCTCATAAGTAACTGTCGTATGTCCTTGCCTGTTCTTTACTTATCTCGTTTTAACGAAGCGACGACTTTAAACCGAAATTATCATCTATCCCTTTATTCCCCCTCCTCCCTCTGCCTCCTGCATCCATTTACATAGTGTTGCGAATTTCTATCGTTTCCTCTATCACATTATCTCCCACATGTTTATTTCTTTTTGCATTCCTCCCCCCTTCCCCCGGCTATCTTATCCCCGATATCACCGAGTGTCGAAGCGAGAATAAAAAGACTTCGCGAGCGAGCGGAACGAAAGTACATATACCTACATATAATTAATCCGATTTGTCAAGAAAAACGATTGAAAGAAAAAAAATAAACCTATCCGTTTTTTGTGTTCTTTCTGTGTATCTCCGGCCACTTACACCTTCTTCCCTTCTTCTCCCTGAACTGTTTTTCGCGTCGCGCGATTCTGGGGATGGGAGGGGGCGACTTAACGAGCTTCAAGCTGATTTATTCAGAATGCGATTTATTTTTCATCCTCGAAGGAGTGATATATCCCTATATTATTATTATCATTTATATATATATATATATATATATATATATATATATATTATATACACATTAAGGGGAAACGCTTTATGTCGCCCCCTTACGCACTTCCTCATACTCCCCGCTCCATGATCCCCGTTCTATTTTATTTGTTCTCTTTCTTTTTTTACTATAGTACTTTTTCGCTCGAGAAAACACCGCGTTGATGTGGATCGAAAAAAACAGCGAATCTAGAGCGATGATCCATGTACACGCGGCGACCCTTACGATTTACGCAGGAAAAAAAGGTGATTGAACTTAATATTTTGTACTTTTCGACGCGTCCGAAATATCTTTGCTATCAGAAAAATATAAAAGATGCGCATAATTAATTGTCCGATTTTTCTTTGCAGTATCGAGATTTTGAAAGTTAAAATATATTTTAAAAAATATATAAATGATTGTTTTGTCTAAATTATTTTTAACGAGAGATTTGAATTATTAATTAATTTTGTTGATATCTTTTATACAATTTGAACAATTTAATCAAATTCTCACATATCTCTCACATAATCAGAAAAATATAAAAAAGATCTCGATTAAGGATTTATCCTCTTTTCTTAATTATGCGCTTCTTTTAAAAAAACTCCTACGATATTGTATCTTGAACATACAAGATACCCTCGGCGCGTTTGAAGATCAAGAAGCGGAAATCCGTTTGGAAGGGAGGAGAATTTTCTTGCGCACAAGAGCTCGCCAAAAACAATCATTAGGAATTGTGCCTAGATGTTTAAAACACTGTATTCTATGGGATCAACGTCATTACCTTTTTAAAGAAACCAAGAATGTGCGAAGAGTGATGAGAAAGAAAGAGAGAGAGAGAGAGAGAAAGTAAAAAAAATAAAAGGAAGCAAGTGGCGTTTAATATGGTATTAGAGAAAGAGAAAGCGGATCGCGTGTCGATCTACAAAGTAATTTATATGTGCGTTGGTGGTGTCTCCGCCGCGATGTCGATCGATCAAGTCGAGATTGCGAGCGCGATCGGAATTGTGCAATTGATGCAATTGTTTTGCTCAGGTTGCACAAAATTTTGCCCACAGGTATATATATATATATATAAAAACATATATACACACATACACTTCCGATACGCTAGAGATCACTCTCGATGTCCATCCATGTTTATTTTTGCAGTGGATTTTAGTAAACATATATATCGAACATTAAATCGTTATTTATTCTTAATATTTAAATTAAAGGGAAAAGTATTAAAGCGATTAGTTATAGTGATTAACGATTTTAAGGAAGATCGAGCAAATATATTAAGATTCCTGTTTGACAAAAGATTGTTCAACACGTTGTTGCAAAATATATATATAAATAAGATATATTTATCGAATAAAGGATGCATATCTCGTTGAAGGAATTATATTTTGCGCAAATTGAGAAATTAAACGCTCTCCCTTTCTCTTTCTCTCCACCGGATGGACGTCGCGTTTATCTCTGACGAGCTTGACCATTACCGTACTAACGTTTTGTATTGTCGACAAGTTGCATAACTAAGTCTAGTGGCACTCTATAATTTCATATTCCATATTATCATGTTCTACTTGTACCTCTAGCGTTCTGTATATCTATGTAGCTCTACATCTGTCTGTATACTATATACATGCTATATATATACACTCTTATCTCTCAATGTATATATATGTACTGTACCCTATATCCTTCTTTCTACCATCTCTCTGAGACTCTCGATCTAATTACGCGCTTTTTTTCACATATCGATTCATTAGAAAAGAAATACCTCAGGTTACTGTGATATTTGCAATCGCGATCTTTGCATTCAGAATTGTAACAATAACGTTTAGCGTTAGTATTACGGCTTCAGTCTTTCTGTGAAATTCCATTCGATAATTTTCTCTTTGTTTTAATATCGAATGGAATTTTATTTATTTTTTTTACTATCGTAATTACATAAGAATTCTCTCAAATAAATGTAGAAAACAAAAGTTTAGCAAAATAGATTTAATTTTTTGGAGCATTTTTTTGGAAAGATTTCCTCGAGAGAGATCGAAGTTTCATTTTTTTTTATCGAATTTTATATATACATATTCATTTCTTTTTACTTTAATTTCTTTTCTTCCCGATGACTTTTCTTCCAGCTCAAAAACTGATCATCGAACTAT